AACCAGCAGGACCACCGTGTCCAGAACCGTCAGCTCCAGTGTCGTCAGCTCCAGCAGCTCCAGTACCGCCAGGAAGAGCACCCCCAGAGCCGGCAGCTCCAACTCCGCTAGCACCGCCAGCTCCAGAGGCCCCAGCTCCAGCAGCTCCAGCCTCAGTGCTCCCAGAACAACCAGTCCCGGCAGCTCCAGTACCCCCAGTACGAGCACCTCCAGGACGAGCAGCTCCAGCACCCCCAACTCCAGCAGAGCCACGAGGACGGCAAAAGCGCCGGACGTACCAGTCACGAAGCTGCTGCGGTGTGAGAGACTGCTCAGCACCCCGAACCGGAGCACCCCCAGACGCAGCAACCCCAGGCTCCGTAGGCTCAGTAGCAGCACCCCCAGGCTCAGTACCCTCAGGCGCAGCACCCCCAGGCTCAGCACCCCCAGACTCCGTACACGCAGGCTCAGCACCCCCAGTCGCAGCACCCCCAGGCGCCGAACTCTCAGGCACAGTACCCTCAGCTCCAGCACCCGCAGTCCCAGCACCCGCAGCCCCAGCACTCCCAGGCCCAGCACCCGCAGGCTCAGCACCCCCAGGCTCAGCACTCCCAGCAGCACCACCTGCAGCAGCACCTGAGTCACCTGTGACCTCGACAGGCTCAGCGACGGGAGGAGGGTCTACCTGAGAGACACCTGAAGGAGCAGGACCCTGAGGGGGAAGGGGGTCTACCGGAGGGGGACCAGGAGCAAGGAAAAGCGGCGGGGGAGGGAGGGGGGCAGTGCGGTAGGGGAAGAGACGGTAAAAAGGGACCGACTCGTCAAAGGTGACGTCCTGAGAGGCGAAGACCCGGCGCGAGGTGGGGTGGTAAAACTGCCAGCCAGGCGCGTTAGGGACAAAGCCAAGGAAGACACAGGGAAGCGTGCGGGAGGAGAGCTTGTCCGCGGACGTATCGCGGACAAGGGCACGAGCACCCCACACCCGGAAGCGCGACGCATCGCCAACCTCCCCCGTCCAACGCAATGTGGGCGAGGTCTCCGGCAAGGAGACACGGGGCCAGAGGTTGAGCTGATGCGCGGCGTACCGGACAGCAAACGGCCACAGAAAATGGGGAGCCGCCGCGTGGACCAAGGAGGTACGAGCGACCTCCATGACCAGGCCAATGCGGCGCTCAGCAACCCCATTCTGCTGCGGGGAGGCCGGAAGCGTGAAGGTCTGCTCGATGCCCTCCGCCTGACAGAAGGTCCTCAAGAGGTCGGAGGAAAACTCACCACCTCTGTCAGAGTGCAGACGCAGGACAGGAAGATCCGTCCGGAAACGGCGGCGGAGCTGGAGACGAACTGTGCGGATCCAAGGGATCAGAACAGCAGGGACCTCACCCTTGGTGCGCAAGGGGAAGACCGTGGTGTAACGCGAGTAGTCGTCGACGACCAGCAAAAAGTACCGCTCACCGCCCTGACCACGAACGCGGGCTGGGCCCCACACGTCCAGGTGGAGGGTCTGCAGAGGAGCCTCTGTCGGGGGGAACGAGGAGGAGTGAGGAGCGGCGCGCTGCCGCCCCTCGACGCAAGGAAGGCAAGGCGGCGCAGGCGAGGCAGGGAGGGGAGGGAGGGACCTGGGAAGACCAGACACAAGGTGGCGACGGTGCATGCCACGGAGGCGTGGCAAGGAGGGGTGACCCAGGCGGTGGTGCCAGAGAAGAGTCTGGTGCGACAGGGAACGACACTCACAGGCGTGGGCTACCAGACCTGACGCGGACACCTGACCGACAGCAGCGACCTGAGGAGACGCAGTGGTCAGTGTGTAGAGACTCGACCCCGGCTGACGGGTAAACGTAGCCAGGTGACGGCCGGTCCTGGAGCACGTGAGGATCGCCACACGCTGTCCTCCAGGGGTAAAGGTGTCAACCCACTGATCCTGGATGACAGCGTTGCTCACCAGGTTCGTCGAGAACGAGGGGAGGTGGAAACCCGACAACGAGCCAGACGGAACCGCTGGACACGGGAGCACAGTGGTGGACCGTGCAAGGACTGGGCCCCCAGAGGGGTCAGCCAAGGAGACTGGGACCGGTGCAGGAAGCGGTGTGAGCTCAGTACGGTCACGAAAGAAACAGCGGGAAGCACCTGAGTCAAGGGTGAAGGTGTGACAGGCCTCAGCCGGTGCAGTACCTGAGAGAGCAGTCTCTGTGGGTGCTGTACCTGAGAGAGCAGACTCACAAGCACCTAGAGCAGCAGGCTCTATACCTGGGTCAGGCGGCACACACAAGTAACAGTCTCCCTCGGCACTAACAGTCAATGCATACATGGCAGCAATAATAGCATCATAGTCAAGAGCAAAGATATCAACACCAGCCCTCATCAGCTCAGCCCAGCGGGGGCGCTCAACCTCCTCGCCCATCTCCTCACGCCAAGCGTCGTCAAGGCGGGAGAAGCAGCGGTACGGGGTGTGGAACCTCCCACACGTCTGTCCCTTGCGGTCACCTGTGCGAATGACATAGGAACAGCGGCCACTGCCCCCCGACGTCCCACGCTGAGCAAGCCACTCACGAAGCTGCTGGGTCGTCTGGGGACGCTGCTGCTGCTGGGAGCTCTGGCCCGAGCCAGTGCCTCCACTCCGACCTCCGCCACCACCACTACCTCCGCTCCGACCGCCACCGCCGCCACCGCCACCGCCGCCACCGCCGCCACCGCTCCCTCCGCCGCCCCCGCCTCCACTGCCGACCCCACTCCCACCAGCACTCCCGCCACCGCTCCCTCCAGCACCGCCTCCCCCCCCACCTCCCCCACCTCCTCCCCCCCCAGCGCCACCCCCGCCACCCTTGCCCCCCTTGCCCTTGCCGGTGCGGCGCCTCCCACCAGGAGCAGAAGCAGCGCCAGCAGACTCAGCACCAAGGAAGTCAACAGCAGCAGCAGTAGCGTAGGAGGGAGCGAGGGGAGAGGGAGAACACCCCTCAAAGATGGGGGTGCGAGGAGCGCCACGAGCAGCACCGACAGCTACAATGCTCTTCTCGGCCGCTAGCAGGTGCTCCTCTAGGAGGGCGACTGTGAGCTCAGTGGGACAGCGAGCAAGGAAGTGGTCTCGAACTGAGCTGAGGGTGTCAGGGAGACGGGTGACTATGAAGTGGAGTGTCCAGTACAGTGGAGGGGGGTTCTTAGCGCAGAACTCGGTGGGAAGGGCGGCACGCAGGCGAGCATCACTAGTGCGAAGGTGGGTGATAAGATCGGCGACTGTAGCAAAGGTGGACAGGTCAGGGAACAGGTAAGGCAGCATGAGGCGGCTAAGCTCGGCTGTGGCAGGCGAGGAGTAGCGAGTAACGACAACGTCGTAGAGGGCCTTAGCGGATTTGCAGTCGCCAAAATGCTCTAGCTCAGCTAACGGCAGGTGACTGCGAATGGCTAGGCGAGCAGCTGCGTCACGAGTCTGCCAGTGGGAACGAACACTAAGCTCAGCTGTGGCAGGAGGGGCAGGCGCAGCACCAGACGCGTAATCATAGAGCGACACATGCTCCTTGCTATCGCTCAGGAGGAACAGCTGCAGGTCATCTAGCCAAGCGGTGAACCGCACAGGGCGGCCCTCAGCATCGAAGGACAGCACGCGGATGGAAGCCATCGCGACAGCACGTCAGAGCAAAGCAAGCTGCAGCAGCAGAGGAAGGCTGGCGCGACGGACAGGCGGCGCTGCAAGCAGGTAGCTCGGTGGGGAGCGCGGCGGGCGGGCGGCGCTCTGAGCGGGCAGCGTGGCAGGTAGCGCGGCGGGCAGGCGGCGCTGCAAGCGGGCAGCGCGGCGGGCAGGCGGCGCTGCAAGCGGGCAGCGCGGCGGGCGGGCGACGCTGCGAGCGGGCAGCGCGGCGGGCGGGCTGCGAAGCGGGCAGCGCGGCGCCGCGAGCGGGCAGCGCGGCGGGCGGGCGACGCTGCGAGCGGGCAGCGCGGCGGGCGGGCTGCGAAGCGGGCAGCGCGGTGGGCAGGCGGCGCCGCAAACGGGCAGCGCGGCGGGCGGGCGACGCTGCGAGCAGGCAGCGCGGCGGGCGGGCTGCGAAGCGGGCAGCGCGGTGGGCAGGCGGCGCTGACGAGGGGCGCTAACGAGGGCGCTAACGAGAGGCGCGCGAGGGCGCTAACGAGGGCGCGCGAGGGCGCTAACGAGGGCGCGCGAGGGCGCTAACGAGGGCGCTAACGAGGGCGCACGAGGGCGCTACGAGGCTAGGGCACGGGGTAGCGTGGTAACCGCATGCGAGCGGTGGTGGGCCCTAAAAAAAAACGGTCGGTAGGTCCTAGGGACCTCCTGCTCTGATACCATATCAACAGGACTAGGCAAGAATGAATGGCATTGAATGGAAGAGTTGGGTACAAGTAGCAAACCCTAGTTGGGGTTGTACCCCATATTGGCTACCCCACTACAGCCTACCAACATAACACAGTTTAACAATCAGTTTCTTGACACTAGAGTGTTCTGCACACAACCTGTGGGCTGAAAATCAAGGGAACTGCATGGCATAGGCTGCAAGGCCATAATGACTGCACCCCACCTGGCGCGCAATTTGGCTACGTTGGCAGTGAGTGGTGCTTTGGGAACGCACGGAAACCGGGTGCGTTGGCTGTGATGTTGCTCAACTGACCAATCGTAGGCGTGCGCGGGCATCCGTGCTGAATGTGCGTTGGCGCGCCAGTGGGTGTATCGAACAAATGGTCCAGTGGGACCGTGGTGCACTTTGTCGTGCCGCGTACTGTGGCGGAATCCGCGGTACAAAAAAGTTCCGGTAAAAGGGTAGTTGAACCCCTACCCTGATACAGTCAGTGTAACTGGGAAAACGCCAAGAGTACTTTTTAGCGTATCCTGATTTCACTAGGGTAAAAATCTCCATACCTTGATTTGAAAAGGGTAACTGCCAAAAAGTGGCCTATGAGCAGGGCAAAAAGGGTAAAATACCCTTGAAATTTGGGGCCTGGCCATATGACTAATTCCACACCACAACTTATACAACTGTATAGTGAAGCTGTTACAACTGCAAGAGCAGTGAGGGCATTTATGTCCTCACGTATTCCAGCTTGGGAGCCTGCAGAAAAAAAAAATGCAAACACAAAACACATGGCAATGCCAATAAGAACACTTTGAGAAGTCTCAAATGCACCACACCCATTATTAATATCCGCAGTGAACAGGACCCGCTTGCACATAACCCCCAAATCCACGCACGCGAAACAACCTAGTACTTCAGCTTGTGTTTATTGACTCCATTGACTCCATCGACTCCATTGACTCCAATGACTCCATTGACTCCATTGACTCCATTGACAGCCATTGACCACCATGGACGCATCAGATGCACACCATACACACTCAGTGCATGGAAATGAAACAAGTGTGGCACATACATCCTTCCCATGCATCCTTCCCATGCATCAAACACTACCCATATTGTATGATTTGTTGTACGAAAAGCGGAAACTACCCACTGGATATTCGGTGGGTGGCAGGGAGGGAAGAAGAAAGTTGCATGCCTTACACCGGCCATCATTACAAACATGCCACACCTCAGCATGACAGATATCATCCATTGCACATACCATCCTTGAACGACGCACGGTACCCATGCACAGCACATACCGACCATGTATGGAACCTAGCAGTCAAGTATGGAACATGATCCATCCATGCATGAAGCACTACTACCAATGTGCATGGCATACCCCACCCATGCATAGAACATACAAACCATACATGGAACAAAGAGAATATCAAGTTTCCATCCATGCATGGGACATAAAGCATACCAACCGTGTATCAAACATCGAACATACCAACCATATATGGAACATACAACACACCAACCATTCATAGAACATACAACATACCAACTATGCATAGGACAGACACGCAATACTCCCACATACAGCATACCGGCAATGCATGGAATGGAACATACAACATAACATACCAACCATGCATGTAGTTCATGCATCCATACCTTGATGAGCATGCTGGTGGGAAGCCATGCAGGAGGAGTGGGCACTCCAGCCCAAGAAAGCTGAAAGACAAACGGAATACGCAAACGGTAATAATAAAGCAAAAAAGCGCACCAGCGGGGGGCATGAGTGAATCGTTCCTATTATTCTATGCAAGCGTTGGCTGGACCTAGAAATCGTTCCTAGGACTGGCGTAAAGTGAACTGGGAGGGAGGGTTCAAGCATGCTGGACGCACATAAGAGTTGAGGAAAAACTGCACTGCTTTCACACATGGATGCATGTACTAGTGCAGATATTGCTTACCAGTGCATACTGGTTGCCGCCAAATTCCTTCAGGTCCAAGATCTGCATGAAGGAGACAGGGAGGACAGAAGTGGGGAGAGGACGTCTTTCTAGGCGCCAAAAGGTGCCGAGATAAAAAAGCAAACTGTTTAGCAGAAAAAATTCTGAGGTCCACGAGTTGGAAGAAAAAGGTGGGGGAAGAGGGAGAGAAGAGGAAACGGTATGACGAGCATATTGAGGAGAGCATGCCAGGCCTGCTGCGTAACCATTGGTAGCTTTTGAGTCGACTCAAAGGTAGCAACAACCCTCAGCACCTCGCCTCTGGTCACATAGAAGCGCAGATAATGGCATGGCAATGCCACCGCCACAAATAGGAGGGTCCGATGGTGGTAGATGCATACGCTACCAAGGTTACTTGCGTCCCCTCATCCCCCAGCGCACCCCCTGCGCCCCCTCGCCCCCCAGTGCGCCCCTCACCCCACAGTGCGGCCCCAGTACATTCCCCCACCCTCCAGTGCTTCCCCCCACCCTCCAGTGATTCCCCCCACCCTCCAGTGCTTCCCCTCACTTCCCTGTGCGCCCCCAGAGAGCGCCTCACCTCGCCTCGGGCCAGGTAGATGTAGTCCAGCCGTGTAAAGAAGCCCGGGTGGTGGCATGGCAGTGCCACCAAGACCAATTACACCCCACATAACCCCTTGTAACCTTTCCGCGCCTCACCTCGCCTCTGGCCTGGTAGATGTAGTCCAGCCCAGTGAAGAAGGGCGGATGGTCCACTGCCTTGAACTGGCAGGGGGCGTGCTCCCCTCATCCCCGCGTGTGCCCCTTCACCCCCCTTCACCCCCCATCACCCCCCTTCCCCACCCACCCTCTCCCCTCCCCCCTTGTGCCCCGCTCACCTCGCCTGTGGCCTGGTAGATGTAGTCCAGACCTGTGAAGAAGGGCGGATGGTGGCAAGACTACTTACCCACCCACATAACCCCTAGTAACCGTTCCGCGCCTCACCTCGCCTCTGGCCTGATAGATGTAGTCCAGGCCCGTGAAGAAGGGCGGATGGTCCACTGCCTTGATTGAACTGGCTGAGTGAGTGCGCCCCCCCACTCCCCAGTGCGTAAAGTCCCCCCTTTCCCCAAAGTGCGCCCCATCACCCCCCAGTGCGTCCCTCCCCTTACCCCCCTCACCTCGCCTCGGGCCTGGTAAATGTAGTCCAGTCCCGTGAAGAAGGGCGGATGGTCCACTGCCTTGAACTGGCGGGGGGCGTGGGCGAGGGGGGAGTCCGCGATCGGGGAGTGTGCACGAGGGGAGTGGGGGCGAGAGGAGTGGGCGGGGAGGGAGCAGGAGATGGGGGAACGGGAACGGGGGGAGCGGGAGCAGGGGGAGCGGGAGCGGGGGGGGCGGGAGAAGCGGGAGCGAGAGCAGGGGGAATGGGCGTGGGGGATGTGGGAGAGGGGGAGTGGGCGCAGAGGGAATGCACGAGGAAGCATGACGGAGCGCATGGGGAAAGGAAAACGGGATAGAAGAGGAAGCGGGGAAGGGCGGAGAGGGGAAAGGGGAGAAACGCAGGGAAGAAGGGGGGAAACGCAGGAAAGAGGGGGGGAAACGCAGGGAAAAAGGGGGGAAACGCAGGGAAGAAGGGAGGAAATGCAGGGGCGAAACGCAGGGAATAGGGGTTAAAACGCAGGGAAGAAAGGGGGAAAGGCAGGGGAGAAAGGGGAAACGCAGGGGAGAGAGGGGGAAACGCAGGGGAGAAAGGGGGAAACGCAGGGGAGAGGGGGAAAACGCAGGGGAGAAAGGGGGCAATGCAAGGGAGAGAGGGGGAAACGCAGGGGAGAAAGGGGGAAACGCAGGGGAGTGGCGGGAATCGCAGGGGAGAAAGGGGGAAATGCAGGGGAGAGGGGGGGAAACGCAGGGGAGAAACGGGGAAACACAGGGAAGAGGGGCGAAAGGCAGGGAAGAGGGGCGAAACGCAGGGAAGAGGAGGGAAAATTGTCAGTTACGAAAGGTGGACGGTCCAGTGCCTTAGCTAAAGGAATGTAGAAAGAGATGGCTGCATTGCAACGTCTCAACAGGGAAACGTGCGAACGTGGGTACAGAGAGGCGTGAGGAAGGAGGAGAGGGAGCGGGCGGGAGGGGGACGGGAGGGGGACGGGAGGGGGACGGGAGGGGGGCGGGAGAGGGGGGCGGGAGGAGAGGGACTGCGAATAAGGACGAGCGGACGTTTCATTGCCTTGAACTGACACACGGATGGCGATGAAAAGACGAGATGGGGGGGGGGGAGGGGAAGGAGAGGGGGAGGAGGAGGGGGGAGGGGGAGCAGGAGGGGGGGTGGAGAAGGACTGCGCATAAGGATGAACGGACGTTTCATTGCCTTGAAGTGCCACACGAATGGCGATAAAAAGATGAGGGATGGCATGGGGGTTGGGGGATGGGTGGGGAAGAGGAGGGCAAGGAGAGAGGAGTGCAGATAAAGAGAGATAGAGGGACGAGGACAAAGGCGAAGCGCGGATAGAGGGCTGTTTTGCGACGAATCAACAAGGAAATTTGCGACAGTGGGTAAGTTAGGGCGAGAGGGAGGGGGGGGAAAGGGGGAGGGCGATGGGAGAGGGTGGGACGGGGGAAAGCAAGGACAGGCGGAAAAAGACAGTGCATTGAGAGGGAAATGGAGGAAACGAGAAAAAAGGACGAAGGACGGTTAGAGGGAGATGTATGGAGGGGTAAGGGAAAAGGGAACCACGTGGTAGAAGGGAGAAGGAAAAAGGTGGAGAGAGGGGTATGGTGAAAGAGGAAGGGGACGCAGAATGTGAAGGAGGGAGGGGAGTGGCGAGGCGAGAGGGGGTCGGGAGGAGAGGAAGAAAGTCGCAATGCCCTCTTGCCCCCCAATGCCCGCTTGCCCCCCAATGCCCGCTTTCCCCCAATGCCCGCTTGCCCCCCAATGCCCGCTTGCCCCCCAATGCCCGCTTTCCCCCAATGCCCGCTTGCCCCCAATGCTCTCGTACCCCCAATGCCCTCTTACCCCGCATCCGCTCCCCTCTGCGCAAATCCTTACCTCTACGCTGTTGAGATATTTCTCCTTGTCCACCCGCACGATGTTGCCCTTTCCAACTGCACGCACGTACGGAGGGTCAGGGGATTGGCATCGCATGGACAGGGCACAGAGAGGAGACCAAGATGTGCTTTAAGTCGAGTCGATACAGACTGGAGGAGTTGCAACTTGAAAAACAAGACAAGAGAAGAGAGCATCGCTTCGAGAAGACAGAAGCGGGGTGGAAGCCGAAGAGGCGAAAGACAAAAAAAAAAAGATTCGGTATTGAGAAGCATAGCTGTCGAGAAGCATAGAAGACAACTCACAAGCAGGCGGGGCAGGAGCGCCGTCAGCAGCAGCCACGACCACGGCTTGACACGTCACTGCGCGCCGCTGCCGATAGTTGGCGAAAAAAGAGAATTCCGGGTGAGGGGGTCGAGGGCGCGAGGGGAGAGAGGAGTGGAAAAATGCGGAGACTCAGTAAAGGCGCTGAAAGCGGTAAAAATCAGGAAGGTCGAAGGCGCGAGGGAAAGGAAGGAGGAATTGGAAGAATGCAAAGCCTCTTTGAAGGAGTTGAAAACATTAAAGGCCAGCAACACAAGCTGCGGAAATAAACTACGGAGATTCATTTCAACCTCGAGAATTAACACGGAAGCTGCGGGCATGGATGGAGATCGGTGCGTGCGTGCGAACGATATGGATTCACGAGGAGGGCGCAGGGATGTTGCGTACGGAAGGAAATGGGAAGGGGGACGGGAACGGGAAGGGGGACGGGAATGGGAAGGGGGACGGGAACGGGAGGTTCAGGAGGAACCAAGCGGAATGCAACGAGCTGGAGAGAGGATTGCAAAAAAAAAAAAAAAAAAAAAAAAAAAAATGAGAACCTAAGAATGAAAGCAGGAGTCCACGACGGCGGTGATGGACGAAATCACGTACCTGAGCATCGCTGTGGAGGCGGGTGGCGGTGACGGAAGGCACACGAACGGAGCAAGCTGCCAGCGCACAAAGGCAGAATGCAGGTCACCAAATACGAGGGAAGGGCGGGAAAGTTTATAGCTTTCAGTAAACGGAACTAAAAGGATAGTGCAGTCACGACGACTCGGGACAAGGTTCGCACTCTGAAATTAGCGTGGCTCCGAGGTAAAGTGAAATGAAGCCATTGCACGAAGGAAAAGCACGTCAGGACATTGTCATAATGGCTCAAATACAGGAACCGAGACCACACTGACGTGTTTTGAGTCGACTCAAGACATCGTGATAACGGCTCTCAGGAACCGAGACCACGCCGACGATTGAACAGATACAGTATGGAAGCGACGCAATCCACCCTACCGGGTCTCAGGAAATAGGTATGGTAGAAGCCATTATCGAACATTGAAAATGACGCTTGTCTACTTGAATACTTTAAAACATTCGGCTCGAAACGCTTTCCTTAAGAACCGGTTCTAGAATGCCTTACCCGATCGCAAAGCAACGGAGCTCTGGAGGGAAGCACGAGGAGCTGAAACAAGCGACAACCCCGATGCCAGTGACACTGCTTGCGCCATCGGCTTTATATATTTTCGGGCAGTCGCTTAATAAGTAAAGCGAATGTTTGACGCCGTGTCGCTAAGGACAGGCAATCCAGCAACGTCTGAAGAGCTACCTCCCTAGTTCCCCGCGCCAAAGAGACTTTCTAGAATCAACCGTGCCAGCAAACTCGTTAGGGTTTCCGAGGCTCGCCTCGTCTGTTGGTGCTGTTCCTCCTCCGCAATTGAGCACTCACGTTGCTGTTGTGCCTTGGGATTGGGCGAATGGGGTTGCCTAGGGTTTGACGAGCGAGGTTCTGAAGGAGGAGGAAGAGTTTTGATACATCCGAGACTACACCGTTATCCTCGTGTGGCTTACATGCACTCCTCAAACTCCTAGGCAGCGTAAGCGTTCACTGCAAATATCCTGCTGATTCACTAGAGTAATGAGAAAAAATATTTCAATTGCTCCTCTGCAAGACTGTCTGTAAGGCAGCCAGTCACACACATGATAGTACAGTGCCAGATACCGGTACCAGGTACCAGGTACTAATACCGTAATCCCCCGCACAGTACACCCTAGGGTGTACTGATAAATATCCCTCTTTAGGTGGGTGTTCTATTATGGGGGGGGTGTAAGCTTGCACCCATGGGTGTTATATAAAGACATACACAAGCAATATAATTTTAAAATGTTTCTGTTTTCAGCTTACCAAGGTTATCGATGAGATTGGCGACGGGGAGAAATGCGCGGCGACCGCGGACGACGACAGCGCTCTTGACGCGTCGAATCGGACGGTCGAGGTCGATCGGACTGAACAGAGTAAAACCGTCGACCGTCGGAACGACGTGAGAGTAGCTAGCTCAGCAACGCGCTTCCTTCCGAAACCGCCGACGGCGTCAGGGACTAATCCCGAATCCGTTTCTGACTGAAACAGCTTCCGAACTGCGCGTGGAATTCAAGCCACGTCATTCAGGCACCGAATGACTCACCACCACACGCTCGCTCTGTGTTTCGTGACAGGCCCTGTGTGGCGCGAGCCTCCACGCCTACGAAATCTCCGTTTTTCTTTCGAGGGGTGTACTGAAAAATACAAAATAAATGGGGGGTGTTATAACTGGTGTATTTTTCAGTACACCCCCCGCAATTGTACACCCGTGGGTGTTCAATTTCGGGGGGTGAAACATAATAGGGTACCAGGTACTAATCAAGAAACGTATGCCATCAACTTGTTGAAACTACTCCTTTGGAACTCCCTAAACCGAGCATCATCCCAACCCTTCCCAACGGTGAGCTTCCTCCAGCACGCACCGTCAAACCTCTTCCAGGCACCAATTCAATGTCATGCCCATCCCCACTACGAGCTACCCCCACATTGTCACCAGTTGCTCCCCCTCCCCAACCTCCCCCACCAAGTCTGCGCATCGGACTGCTGCGCGAGCTCCTACTCAAACCCAAGTCATTGGCAGGAGGCGACCAAGAGAGCATACTTTTCCTCACTTTCCCGCCTATCCCGTTTCCCCCAGGGCTCCTCCCCAGGCTCTTCTGCCTCTCCAGCATGGCGGCTTCCATGGCTGAGGCTACTCTACTGTGCTCCAGCGCCGCTTGCTGCGCCTCCACCAGCTGTAACGCTGCGTCGCGGATGCGCGATCGCGCGCTGTCCATCCACATCTCGTCCAGCGATCGACGGCTGTCGTTCACCCACGATTCTACCGCCGTGCGATCCCTGTCGTCCAACCACCCTGCCGCGTTGGTCTCATCATGTGGCAGATACGAACGCCTCGTGTGGGATGCTCTCAAATACGTGTCGTCGGGAGCACGAGCAGTGGCGAACCGCTCGTCACGGTGACGCGTCTCGTGGTGGCGGTGCTCGTTGCTGCCGATCCAACCGACGCTGTGGTACGTCTGCGTGCTGTCGACCCAGTACGCAGGGTCCTCGTCCCCGTTAGAAACGGATTCGGGATTAGTCCCTGACGCCGTCGGCGGTTTCGGAAGGAAGCGCGTTGCTGAGCTAGCTACTCTCACGTCGTTCCGACGATCGACGGTTTTACTCTGTTCAGTCCGATCGACCTCGACCGTCCGATTCGACGCGTCAAGAGCGCTGTCGTCGTCCGCGGTCGCCGCGCATTTCTCCCCGTCGCCAATCTCATCGTCCCTCCGCCCACTGTAGTCACGTTCCGCCGCGTCAGCAGCAGCCGCATCGTCAGCGCCATTGCCCGCATCCCCCGCTGTGGCCAACCGCATCCACGCGGCTCGCTGCATCCAATCATGCTGCTGCAGAAACTCGGCATTCAAATCGCCGCACGTGGCAGAGCTCGAACCACTACGGAGCAGCTCCCCGCGTTGCACGGCTGGACTGGAGGCAGCGGCGGCGTCCGAGGCGGAAAGAGCGCGGGGAACAGCGGCGGGAAATGCGCTCTTAGCTGGCGGTTCAGAATCGGACCAGGAACTGGGAAAACCTCGGGGTGAGCGGCCTGGGAAAGCTCGGCCAGCTACACCGAAGACAGGAAGGACGGCATGCATGGGCGGCTCGGCGGATCGGCGGCGTTGATCGCCGTTGGTGATTCCACTGGCGGCGGCATTGGCAGGAGCAGGAAAGGCTGTCAGTAGAGAATTGGATGACGGGTAGCAGGGTGTTGCTGCGGGAGGGGGAGATGGGGAGCAGGAATGATCGTGATGACCACGGTGAAATGATTCCGCTGGGCGTGCCGCGAAAGGCGCGCCGGATGATGCGGACACGGCGGACGACGTGGCGGAAATCGCGGGGCCGTTGGGGCGAAGCGCGCCGAGAGATGATTGAGTGATTGTGCTACTACGCGGCACGAGCGAGGAGGCCTCTGGCAGAGGAATGCCGATGTTGCCACCTAGGACGATCTCCTGGGAGGTCTGCCGCGAGAGACGCTTTCCGACCGCCGTTGCGGTGGGTAGGAAGCTGCGGATCGCGCGGTAGTGCTTCGACATGGCCGCCTCAAGCGGGTGCTGCTGCGGAGAGAGTCGGAGTCGGAACTAAAGAGTCAAGTTTGGATTTTTTTCCAAGCAGACTATCTACTTTAGTAAAGTACGGACTACCCTTCTGGAGTACAACGCTCCCAGTAGAAGCGCAACGCCGAGCTTGCGAGGAAGCAATCTCAGGAGCCGGCGACAGACTTGAAAATCGGAAAAGAGAACTGACTTGGAAAAGGACTGCTGCTCAACTTTTCCAACGCCGAGCTTGCAAGGAAGCGATCCCAGGAGCCGGCGACAGACGAACGCTTGGAGTGAGAAAAGGGCACTACTTGACTCCAAGCTCCCTTGTCTATTTATGACGTTCATAAAGCACCATAAAAGCAGCGGCGGAGGGTGGACGAATTGGCTCTTCGGACTTGGAGAGGGACGAGGAGGAAGGGAAACTGTACCCATGTTTTATGGCGCCTCCGTCGGCCACTGCACTGCACAAACGGTAGGCATTTCCCATTTGCGCTCCGCAATGCGCCTTCCCTTCCCTTCCCCCTCCCCAAGCCAAGGACAGAACGGATGAGATTCGGTCTAGTGGGCATGCGGTTGCGCGAGAGGCACGGCTGGGGGTGGTGGGGGGGTGGGGGAAAGGTGGCGCTAGCTAGCTTTGGTTCCGCGACGAAGATACAGTAACCAGGCGCGTTTGGCAGACCAGATGACGATTTGACCGCTTTGAGAGTAGAGACAAACAAGATAGATTTGGGTCACGTGATTTGCCACAAGCAAATAAATTTGCTTTCAGAACTCTCGGGAAACAAACGTATTTTTATACAGTAAACCATATTTTGGTTGCGATTTAGCATCAGACCACGGCATCGCACCAACATCAGACCCTTACACTTAGAATGTCGGCAGGAAGTAATCTCATCTGGATATCGGTGACAAATATCGGAATCCACAAAGAATCGGAGGCTTTCCATTCCTGACAGAAGACCATTTCCCGCCATGAGTGGCCTCAGGTGTAATACTGCTTACTGTCTACCTTATTCGCCAACCAGCAGATGGACGTGGCGAGATTGGCGAATCCCTACCACCCCTTCTCTCCGCTCACCCACAGCTGGTGGACATGACAACATTTTTGGTGTAGCTTGGGGGAGGCCGTCTAGTGAAGGGGGAAAACGCGCAAGCAACAGTGAACGCGAGATTCGGGAAGTGCCGCACGGTGCCTCCGTGCAAGCAAGCCCCAGATGCGACGCGGTGGGACACGCAACCTAACAGAAATCTAGAACCTAAAAGGAGATCTACAACAGAAAATGGGAGATCTGAGGATTTGGGAGACTTGTGTTACTTCCGTCGCAGCTCCCTATATCGAAGCATCTGCCCAGATAAATCAACATAATGTACAACGTAGAGACTGCTGATTCCAACATGTAGCACACCTGCACAGCTTATTTATGGTCAAAAAACTTGTAAACATTATGTGGACAAGCTGTGGGAACACACATTTTAGAAAACAAGGTAGTTGTTATGAGTTGTACTAAGAAGAGTGCGCGGAAGACTTTATAAAAAGGATGATGAATACAGCATGACGAGAATGATAAAGAGAAGAGCATTTATAGGGTCGAAACCGTGCTAGGCGAGGACCTCGATGTGCGTGGCTCGGGAATGTCGCAATTGGTGCGGGGCGACTCGGGGCTGGTTCGGTGCGAAAGTATTGTCAAACATTGTATGTTTATATTGTGTAGGCTGTAGTGGGTTACACCTTAGGGGGTACACAAAGTTAGGGTTTCCTACTTGTACCAAACTCTGAGCTAGTTCATTCATTCCTCGTTCAGTTATTCTGACATGGTTTCAGAGCAGGTCCTTCGCTAGGACCTAAGTTTTTTTTCGGGCCCACCTCTACTACCTACCTACCTACTGTCGGAGTGCTGCGTTAGCGCCTCCCCCTCCGCGCCTTCGTGCGCCCTCGTGTACGGCCCCTTAAGGCCCCGTCGACCCCGCACGCTGCCCCTTAGTGGCCCCGTCGCACCCGCGCGCGCCCCGGTTGCGGCCCCGCGGCCCCGTCGACCCACCCGCGCGCACCTCGTTTAGCGGCCCCGCGGCCCCGTCGCCCCGTCGACCCACCCTTGACGCCCCGCGCGCACCTCGTTTAGCGGCCCCGCGGCCCCGTCGCCCCGTCGACCCTCACCTAGCGGCCCCGCGGCCCCGTCGACCCACCCGCGCGCACCTCGTTTAGCGGCCCCGCGGCCCCGTCGCCCCTCACTTAGAGGCCCCGCGGCCCCGTGCGCACCTCGTGTCGCGACCCCCGCGGCCCCGTCGACCCACCCCTGGTGGCCTCGCGGCCCCGTGCACGCCCCGCCTAGAGGCCCCGCGACCCCGTCGACCTGTGCGCACCCCGCCTAGAGGCCCCGCGACCCCGTCGACCCGTGCGCCCCCCGCCTAGAGGTCCCCGCGGCCCCGTCGTCCCCGCGCGCGCCCCGCATAGAGGCCCCGCTGGCCCCGTAGACCCCGCGCACCGCCTCTTCGCGGCCCCGTCGCTTCTACTGATACTGCTACTGCTGCTGCTGCTACCGCTACTACTGCTACTGCTACTGCTGCTACTATTATGGCTAGTCCGCCTGTACTCGCTTTCGATGCTGAGGGCCGTCCAGTGAAGTTCGAAACCTGGCTAGATGACCTGCATCTCTTCCTACAGCTCACTGCCAAGGAGGACATCTCACTGTACGATCATGCCCTCGGTCACGCTACTGCCCCTCCTACCACTGCAGACAGCACTCAGCGCTCACAGTGGCAGACTCGTGATGCCCACGCTCGCTTCGCCATTCGCAACTCCCTGCCACTAGATGAGCGCGAGCACTTTGGCCAGCACAAGACTGCTAAGGACCTGTACACTGCTGTAGTTGCTCGTTACTCCTCACCTGCCTCTGCCGCACTAGGCCGCCTCACCCTCCCCTACCTGTTCCCCGACCTGGCCTCCTTCAGCACAGTCGCTGACCTCTTCACCCACCTCAGGACCAGTGAGGCCCGCTTTCGCGCTGCTATGCCTGACGAGTTCCTTGCCAGCAACCCCCCCCCGCTCTGGATCACGCTTTACCACATCGTCACCCGCCTCCCTGACTCTCTGCGCGCAGTCAGGGATCACTTCCTCGCTCGCTCTCCCTATGAGCTCACCATTGCCCTCCTCGAGAAGGAATTGCTTGCAGCTGAGGCGAGCATCGTCGCTGTAGGCACCTCTCGTGGCGACCCCCGCACCCCGTTCTTTGAGGGGTGTTCCCCTTCCCCTCTCCTCCCCTCTGTCGCCTCTGCTGCTGCTGTCGACCTCCTTGGTGCTGAGAAGGTCGGGGCTGCGTCTGCTCCGAGCGGGCGCCGCAGGGGCAAAGGGGGCAAGGGTGGAGGTGGTGGCGGGGGAGGCGGGAGTGGTGGCGGTGGGGGTGGCGGTGGGACTGGAGAGGCTAGTGGCGGCAGTGGGGGTGGTGACAGCAGCGGCGGGAGCGGTGGCAGGGGCGGAGGCGGCAGCGGAGGCGGAGGTGGTCGTGGCGGCGGCAGGGGTGGAGGTGGCCGGGGTGGCGGCGGTGGGGGTGGTGGTCGTGGAGGCGCTGGCGGTGGACAGAGTCAGCAGCCCGCCCCGTTGCTTCAGGCCGCCCGTGAGTGGTATGCGCAGCGTGGCTTTACCTGCACGTATGTCATTCGCACTGGTGACCGCACTGGCCAGCAGTGTGGGAGGCCGCATCCCACACAGCGTTGTTTCGCGCGCCTTACTGACGCGTGGCGGGCCCAGTTTCCTGATGCCACTGACCTGCCCCACTGGGCTGATCTGGAGAAGAAGGGAGTTGATATCTGGGCTTTAGACTTTGATGCTATTCTCACTGCCATGTATGCGATGTTTACTAGTGGAGAGGGTGCTCAGTACTTGCGTGTTCCGCCCGACCCGGGCATTCTGCCCAGTCCGGCCGCCGCTCTAGGTGCTAGTGAGTCTGCTGCCCCAGGTCCTGGTGAGGCTGCTGCTCTAGGTGCTAGTGAGTCCGTCCCCCCTGGTACTGAGTCGACTGCAGCACTGCACACCTTCACCCTGGACTCAGGTGCTTCTCGCTGTTTCTTTCGTGACCGCACTGTCCTTGAGCCTCTTGCTCGGCCAGTTGCTGTCTCCCTCGCTGACCCCTCTGGGGGTCCGGTCGTTGCGACCTCCTCTACTGTCCTTCCTTGTCCTGCGGTCCCGTCAGGCACACTGTCAGGCCTCTACCTCCCCTCGTTCTCTACGAACTTGGTGGCAGGTAGTGCGCTCCAGGACGGGGGTGTTCACCAGTTCACCCCTGCTTACGAGCGCGTGACCCACTGCACGTGTGCTCGGACGGGCCGTCACCTGGCTACCTTCACTCGGCAGCCGGGGTCGGACCTGTACACACTGACCACTGAGTCCCCTCAGGTAGCTGCGTCCGCGTCTGCGTCTGCGTCAGGTCAGCTGTCCGCCCCCTGCTCGTGTCGCTCTCTGGCGCATGAGACTGTCCTCTGGCACCACCGCCTTGGTCACCCGTCTGTGCAGCGCCTTCGGGCCATGCACAAACGGGACCCCGGCAGTGGAGCTACTGCTG